CCCCCGCGGGGCCCCCTGGCCCTGTGGTACAATTGATGTGCTGGTGAGAGGCACTCGTCGATGTCTGACCAGCTTGCTTGCTGAACGTGGACCCCGCTCAGTCCCCTGAAGCGGAGGAGGTTGAGCCCAACACCCGCCTTGACAATGAGGCTATCGATGACTACACACACGTCAACTACTCCGCACGGTGGAAACAGAAAGCTACAAGCTACAATTATGGTGTCGACGTAGGGTAGGTTTTCCGCTCCATACTCCCTAGATAAGTGTAGGGATTCCAGGAATAACGGTTGCTCTAGCGGCTCGGCAGCTCCTCGGTCGTGCTGCAGGGGAGCGGGTGCACTGGACGGGACAAGACCTCCGCTCACAAGATACGCTTTCGAAAACATGGAGGGGGATGAAAGAACCTACTCTGGCCGTCCACATTCGATTGAGCCTCTGGAGGCAGCACTGTCGTTTGAGAGATTCTCCCGCAATGGGAATTATACGTAAGGGTAATCATTGAGGGTGGCGAAGATTCCGTGAGGCCTATGGATGTACCGGCTTGGATACTGTATGCTGTGACGATATATTGGACTACGATTTCATATGTGCAACGATGCCGATAACTGATCCAGTCGAAAAGGCGTGTCTGGTCGAGGGGCTGAAGTTCCTGCGCCCCCAATCTTGAGAGTGGCAGTACGGAGCGCAGGATGATCAACTTCCATGGGAGAGATCTTTGCGGCTGGGCGCCTGCAACTAGAGTCGATCTGGGAGTCGATCTCAGTCCGTTGGAGACTGATTGCGTATCAATCATTGGGCTGAAACATGACTTGAAGCTCGGATAAAGTACTGTATTTCTAAGACGAGAAAGTGACATCGATAACCCGTCTGGCCCTGGGGCTATACACTATCAGCTACTACGTCCAGTTGGTAAGGCCCTCCGAAATGGACGACATGCGAACTTAGATACTTAAATATTTAGTGATTTTAACATTTTGCCACTGTACTGCACCCCGAACTTTGTCTTTAGTTCCTTATGTTAAGTACTCCGTGCTTGGTACAGTACCTAAAAGCTCGTGGACATGAAGAATTGGATACAGTACAAGCCGATCCCCTGCAGTGGAAATATAGTCAAACGATGTCGTTTAACGTACAGTAGTTGACGCCGTCACGCCATCGCGGAGATGGAGCAGCACAACCTTCCCCACGTCATTCACCGCCAATCTCCCAAACGTACCACTTTGAAAACTCCCACACTCCGCCCCATTGGGCAGCCGTGACCGGCGATGTCCTTACCGATTAACTTATTCCCAAGGCCGTACAGAGATGTGGCGTGCCTGCCGTGAGCGAGCTAATCATTGGTCGAATGGCTGGCCAGCTTGAGCTCCACATCTGATTGGAGGGTCCCGAACGACCCTTTGCCGCTCAACCGGTCATTTAGAGAGAGCTAACTTAGGACGTAGGATGAGATACGTAGATTGAGCACCAGAATAAGGGGATTCGCTGGTGATTGCCAGGTATTGTAAGCCGAATCATAAGAGAAGAGTCCTGTAAAGTCCCACAATATTCGTAGGAACCCAAAACCACGCATTGGTGAGTGATCACTCTACCGAGCTTCCTAGAGTGCGACGAGCCCCATGCCAGACAGTTGTCCCATTTGGCGGCTTCGACAGAATTCTTTGCCATTCCACCGATGCTTCTATTTTCAGGACTGGTAATTTACATCCAATGACACCGATGAAATACTTGTCTGGTAAAACATTTGTCCTGTATCACGAAATCCGTCTATCTACCCTCGAGGTGTTAGGATATACGGCATGGGACTCCCCAAATAGAAAACATCAAAAATTCGGGCTTAGCCACATGATTAGGCTCCTCTTTTGTCATCCTTTGAAATTCTTTGGGTAGGTTACTGCCACAGCCGGGTTTAGGGGGGCAGAGATCGGCCGCTAATGCAGGAACTGCTGTCAACGCGTCACCGCGCCAGTGATATTTGACTTTAGTAGAACAGAAGGATGTCGAAATGCGTGCACATAGATTCCAGGTCCAAAAACCCTCGATGGATTCTGATGATGACCACTTACTGTAGCCGCTGTCAAGGAAGCTGCTTTTAACCAGTGCTTACGTAATATGACCGCTGTTGGGACTTTTCTGATTTACTTTCTCCGCCGATCCCGAGGAGAGAATGGCCGGGATACTGTAGGACCCATTGACGAGAACAACGACCACCGACCCGAGGACAAAATCCGTCGATATCGTCACCAGTCGAAGTCAGTCAACCGCTTGACTCTGATCCTCCGAAAAAAAAAACAACCTTCACGGCGTCTGACCACATTTCCTTTGGTCTCAGTACCACACCACGTACGTCACGATGAGGCGAACGTAGGCACCTTTTCCTGACGGAGGATACCCGCACTCTGATTGGGGTGGCCTGCATGGTCGGGGTTCTCATCGAAAAGAGATGTCTGTGCATAACTGGATGTATACAATAGCATGGTACGATCCCCGGAGGACATGGCAGCAATTTCCCCTTCCACATACACTCTCGTTGGGCTTTTTGGCCCACCAGCTATCTACCGAACACCGCGTAGCTTCACGCTTCAACGAGTTGAATCCGCCTCGTAGCCCGGGAAGAAAACCTATGTCTCGATTGCACCTTACCCTTCAAAGCTCGGACGGCCAGGATTTTGTCGTAGGTGCGTGCAATTCCCCTTCGAAGCACCCGAGGCCGGGTGGGCTGATCGCCCAACCAGAGCGCAAAGTGGCAGAGCGATCGATTGTCGTCCAGAACATTGTTAGCGATCTGGGAGAAGAAGCCATGGACGAGGCGATTCCCATTCCTAACGTCAACGCCGCCGTGCTGGAGAAAGTCATCGAATGGTGCACCCACCACATGCACGATCCTTTTTCCTCCATCGACAAGACCGACACCGACTCTCGCCAGAATTCCACCGACATAGAAGAGTGGGATCATGCATTCCTGCAAGTCGATCAGGAAATGCTCTTCCAAATCATCCTCGCCGCCAACTATCTCGACATCCCGGCTCTCCTGGATCTAGGCTGCAAGACCGTTGCCAATATGATCAGGGGTAAGTCGCCCGAGGAAATCCGTCGAGCCTTCAACATCCAGAACGATTTCACTCCCGAGGAGGAAGATCAAATTCGCCGGGAAAATGCGTGGGCGGAGGACGTGTAGTATGTGGCACCGAGGGAGGAAGGGCCCGCATGAGTCTGGTCGCGGTACACGGTGTGATGTCGCTCTCGCTCCGGGCCCGGGACGAGAGGGGGCCTTTTATAGAGCAGGATTTGCTATCACAAATTCGCGGATATGACGACGAAGAATCAAATGTCACACAGCCCACCCCTACCAAAATGAAGCTATTTGCACCAATACACTGTTCTCTGCTCCTCCGGTGCCCCTACCAGATTTGTGTTTAGAAAAAGACGGTCGTGGTCTGCACGTGAGCGGCGCGAGTGATTCTAGAGACTCCCTCCAGATCTGATTCCGGGCCCACTGCACTGTACTCAGACGTTTGGTGGTCCTAGTCCTCCTACGGCGTGGGGAGAGGGTCATGCTGCATCTGCGGCCTGGACTTCACCCAGAGCGCTTTTGGCCGCGTCATCGCGGTCGGCGGGAGAACTTCGTCGTTGAGTCACTTAGCATCGCACTGGATGTGACGTTATTTTCCCATTCTGATGTCCTTGTGTTGGCGCCCAGTCAATTAGCGCGCACTAACTCTTCAACAGGTGAACGCGCCAAACTCACAAAGGTGCTAAGCACTCGTGGCGCTTGTCGGGATGCCTCCGACAACGACGCCGACGACTCAGGATTTAGAAAGACTTAGAAATGGTCCGATGGCAGGCTGCGTTACCTGCGAGGTTTTTGGTATTGCACACAAAGCTCGCGATGCGCCACGCCCCGAGTAGTTTTGACTATGAAAATGGCCTGTACTTCGGTGGCCAGATTTCCGTGGTAGGCTAGGTCACATCACTGGAGCTAACTTCCCCCGGACGATGTGTCCTCCCGATTACAATCTGATTCCCAGTTCCTGTCCCTTCTAAAAATCTTCGTTGTCTTCGATTCGGGTGAAGGGGGCTCCCTGTAATCCGTTTCAGTGATGCCGTATCGTTTCTCCATGACGTATAGTCGCTGCTCCCTGCCCGTTGTGGACCCCCGTATTCCCGGACCCTACAAGATCGAGATTCGTCCAAACGAGAAGGTGATGCACGAGGTAATTTACAGTAAGTTACGGGAGAATCTCTACTCGCCCGATCCTAGAAAGGAAGCCATTCATGGACGGAAAATTCGGTCACTTGCGAGAATGTTCTGCTCATGGAAATTGCGACTTGACCACAGTTTCCGCCACGATGGCCACACTGTCGATCCAGGATCTCGACCCTGTCCCTCACGACGATGTGGAATCTTGGACCTGAGTGGAGGACCGGTTCGTGGTCTCGCCGCATGGTGGTGCGTTCTGTTGACGTCGAACTTTCTGGTCTCATCAAATGTACTCTTGGTCGCCTTAGCCGGGGGGCTGCGGCCGGCGTATATAAGAACGACTTCGGTCTCTGGTGGGGAGTGGGAGCTATCCAGCGTCGTTGTCCAAGCGAGATTACATACCTCCAACTTCGACGAGTGGAACGTTCTGGCCCGTGAGCGGGGCTGCTCAGTGTGCCCATCCACCGTCACCGAGACCAAGGTCAGCCACCGGGCTTCTCAGCATGGATGCCACGGTTGGCCAGGGGGGGTCCCCAATACCACCTGCCCATAGAGGGTTTCACTACGCCGCCCGGGGGGTCGCCCCCTCGGCCGTGGCGTTGCTCACCGCCCACCGGTGCGCCATTCACTTCCGATCCATCTCATGGGTGGTGGCTGACGGGCGACAGCGAGAGATTTGTTTCCGTCCACCGAAATGGTCACGTCGTCCACTGGCGGTACGGGCAGGACCGCCCGCGGCACATGGAGTCCGCCCGCGACGGACGCCTCCTCTACCATCCACGGCAACAATGGATGCCGTCGGCGGTGGCACTGGATGACCGTGTCCTCTCCCTCGGCTTCACGACAGGATGGGTGGTCGCACGAGCGTCAGGCCACGACGGGCACGACGGAGGTCGTT